GCCTGGTATTTCTTTGAAGGATGACCAGAGAATGGATGAGCACTCAGGATCACACTGAGACCAGGTCCCTAATGCTCCTAATCCCTTAGGACACAAGGACCTGAAAGACATAGAAACTGCTTCTCTGAAAATTGGCTTGATTATTCTCCCAAAGTTGACCAGGATCCAGAGCTTAGATTGCAGGATGTCAGGGCGTATGCTGAGGCCTAGCTGTCTTCAAGCTGCAGTTTCCAAGATAGCCCAGAATAGAGTCCAATCAGTACATGGCAATATATTTCTTCTTTGTTTTCTGTAAGTTTTATAAAAACATACATACAGAAATGTACATAAGTCGTAAGTTTACAGCTCAACGAATTTTCACAAAATGAATACACCCTCAAGATCAGCACCCAGATAAAGAGAATACAACAAAAACAGCAGCGGGCCTCCTCACCCCTGCCTCCAGCCAATACTCCATCCCCCACCCCAGGATAAATGCAATCCCAGCTTCTAACATTGTGCATTGGTTTTGCCTGTTCTTTGAACTTTCTGTAGCAGTTACAGAATATGTACACTTCTGTGATTGGCTCATTTCAGTCAACATAATGTCTGTGAGATTCATCCTTCTTGGATATAGTTCCAGTTAATTCATTATCATTATTGTATTGTATTCAATAAATATTACTACAATTCATTCATCCTTTCTACTCTCCGGCATTTGGGTAGTTTCCAGTTTGAAGGCATAAATAGTAGAAGTATTATGAATATTCTAGGACGTGTTTTCATTAAACATGCATGCAGCTCTGTTGGGTACAGTATAGGCCTTGGAGTGGAATTAGTTCTCAGAAACAAAAGAAAATAAATTCGAGTTTGATATAGACTTGATCGTTCCAAGACACATTCCCTGCTTGTAGTGAACCTGAGTTGGCCATGAGCAGTGGAAGGAGCGTGCTTGTTAAAAGCACAAATGTGATGCTGGGAGGCACGTACAGATCTCAAGAGATTATTCAGGGAAGCACCAGGTTTATTTTAAATGATGGGAAGAGGTGTCAAATAAAGGTTATAAAAACATCCCAATAAATATAAGGCCAATGGTAGGCTGATAATATCTTCAGAGAGCATGTTTAGGATCGTATGGTTCTTCTTCATTCTTCTCTGCAGAACCTCCTGGCAGTTATGGCAGTGGAACATTGGAAACGGAGATGAACAGGAGGTGGGAAGAGGAGGCTAAGTGCATGTGGGCCTAAAAGTCCCTGCTTTGGGAGTTTAACAGTCCTGGATGGAGGTAAGGAGGCAGGTGTGATTCTAAGATCTCAAGGAAAGGAGATTCCACATCATTCTTCTCTTTCCTTGGCCCCTAGACTGTTTATGAATGAAATAATTTCATCAATGCTAGCAGATCCCCTCACTGAGACTTCCAAAGATTTTTATCAACAATGTTATGTCACTCCCAGTAACTCTTTGAAGGTCAATGACAGAATTAATTTTCCCATTTAAAAAATGGAAACACGAAGACCCAGTGGAGTCCGCATTTTCTAGTTTTAGCCACTCTGGAAGTTGTGTCCTGGTAACCACAGTGTCCCAGCTGTGAACTATGGGCAAGTCTACAGCATCATCTTCCATTCGCCATGTGGTTACTGCACCTCTCACACAAACTACCTGCGTTACTCAGTCATCCAATATCAAGGACTATGCCACACTCCTTAAGGCAGGGGCAGAGACTTAGAGATTCATAAAACAGGCCGGGCACAGTGGCTCAAGCCTGTAATCCCAACACTTTGGGAGGCTGAGGTGGAAGAACTGCTCGAGCCCAGGAGTTCAAGACCAACCTTGGCAACATAGTGAGACCCCCATCTCAACTAAAAATAAAAAATTAGCCTGACATGGTGGCACCTTCCTGTGGTCCCAGCTACTTGGAAGGCTGAGGTGAGAGGATCCCTTGAGCTCAGGAGATTGAGGCTGTAGTGAGTTGTGATTGCGCCATTGCACACCAGCCTAGGCAACAGAGCAAGACTCTGTCTCAAAAAATAAATTAATTAAATAAAATTTAAAATAAAATCCTTTTAGAGTTCAAGTCTTAATCACCACATGGCTTTGGGCAACTTATTTTATCTCTCTGTGCCTCCATTTCCTAGACCTGGAAACAAAAATAAGAGAATGAAATTTATACAGCTTCTCAGAAGAGTATGTAAGTTAAGCCACATAAAGCATATAAATATCTGTCACTTAGTAGCCACTCAGCACATGGTAATTACAGAGCATGGTGCCATAAGAAGTTGCTGGGGAGGCAGACATATAAATGAATGCAGAAAGTATGTGAGGAATACTAAAATAGAAATTAAAGTGTCCTGTGACTTTTTCATCCACATAGACGAGTATCAAAGCTAGTATCTCTCTGGGAGGATCATGGCAGACAGGAGGCAGACTAGATTGCAGCTCCCACTCAGATGGACAGAGCAGCGTGTGGAGTATTGCATCATGAACTTTTTCTCCAGAATGACTGCAGGAATAAATCAGGAAAGCCAAGAGAACCCACAGACCTTCTGAAGGAAGTGAATTGCTCCTGCAGGACCTGGGAGACACTGTGAGTGCCCAAACTGTGGAAGTGGGAAAGGGGTGTTGTTCACCCCCAAACACAACCTCGCTGGAAACCTCAAGATCTAGATCACAGGAGAAAATTCTGACATTACCTGGAGCTGAGTCAATTCAGAGAGCCGTGTGAAATGCAGGGGTAGAGGAAGCAGTGGGAAAATCCCTGTGGGCTCTCTGGGTCCCCCGGCAAGCCATTTCTGCCTTGCCTCCCAGGGGCCATTGGGGAGGGCTACCAGAGGCACTGGGAAAAGGCCACATGGAGAAGGAAGCCTTCAGCTGAACTTTGTAACAATTCCAACTGAACAAGAAGTCTACTGGCCAAAACTACAGGGAGGGCATGAATCCGGTGTGCAGACCACAGGCAGGGAAGCACAAAGGGTTCACAGCTTTCACAGCTGGGAGACTGGTAGCCTGGGGCAAGCTCTCAGCCCTGCTTGCCCACTGCCTGGACACAGACTCAGTGTGTTGAGCAAGGAATGGTGAGAGTGAGACTGGCCCTTTGGGTTGTGTGGGAGCTGGGTGAGGCCTGTGACTGCCAGCTTTCCCTCACTTCCCTGACAACCTGCATGACACAGCAGAAGCAGCATAATCCTCCTAGAAACATAACTCCATTGACCTGCGAAGCACGCCTCCAGCCCCCACAGCAGCCACAGCAAGACCCGCTCAAGGAGAGTCTGAACTCAGACATGCCTAGCACTCCCCCCACTTAATGGTCCTTTCTACCCACCCTGATAGCTGAAGATGAACGGCATATACTCTCGGGAGTTCTAGAGCCCCACCCACTACCTAGTCTCTCCCATACTACCACAGCTGATGCTCTCCTGAAAGTGCCACCTCCCAGCAAGAGGCCAACCAGCACAAAAATAGTGCATTAAACCACCAAAACTAAGGACCCTCACAGAGTCCATCTCACCCCCCACCACCTCCACCAGAGCAGGTGTTGGTATCCACAGCTGAGAGACCCACAGATGGTTCATATCACAAGACTCTGTACAGACAACTCCCAGTGCCAGCCCAGAGCCTGGTAGACCTGTTGGGTGACTAAATTCAGAAGAGAGATAATAATCCCTACAGCTCAGATCTCAGGAAGTCACGTCCCTAGGAAAAGCGGGAGTACTACATCACGGGAACACCCGGTGGAACAAAAGAATCTGAACAACAGCCTTGAGCCCCTAGACCTTCCCTCCAACAGAGCCTACCCAAATGAGAAAGAACTAGAAAACCAACTCTGGTAATATGACAAAACAAGACTCTCTAATACCCTCCAAAAAATCACACTAGCTCACCAGCAATGGATCCAACCAAAAAAAAAAAAAAAAACCCTGATTTACCTGAAAAAGAATTTATAAGGTCAGTTATTAAGCTAATCAAAGGGGTGCCAGAAAAAAGCAAAGCCCAATTTAGGAAATAAAAAAATACAAAAACTAAGGGGAGAAAAGTATCATATAATAAAAAGCAATCAAAACTTCAGGAACCAATGGATGCACTTACAGAAATTCAAAATGCTCTGGCAAGTCTCAGCAATAGAAGCGAATGAGCAAGAGAAAGAACCTTAGAGTTCCAAGACAAGGTTTTCAAAAGAATCCAACAAAGACAAAGAAAAAAGAGTAAGAAAATATGAACAAAGCCTCCAAGAAGTCTGGGATTATGTTAAACGACCAAACCAAAGAATAATCAGCATTCCCGAGAAGAAGATAAATCTAAAAGTTTGGAAAACATATTTGGTTATCCACTACTGGGTATCTACCCCGAGGAAAAGAAGTCATTATACAAAAAGGATACTTGCACACACGTTTATAGCAGCACAATTCTCAGTTGTAAAAATGTGGAACCAACCCATATGTCCATCAATCAATGAGTGAATAAAGAAACTGCCATATACATATACAATGAAATACTACTCAGCCATAAACAGGAATGAATTAATGGCATTCACAGCAACCTGGATGAGACTGGAGACTATTATTCTAAGTGAAGTAACTCAGGAATGGAAAACCAAACATTGCACATTCTCACTCATATGTGGGAGCTAAGCTATGAAGATACAGAGATATAAGAATGACACAGTGGACTTTGGGGACTCAGGGAGAAAGGGTGGGAAGGGAGGGACGGATAAAAGACTACTACAATTTGGGTGCAGTGTCTACTGCTCGGGTGATGGGTGCACCAAAATCTCACAAATCACCACTAAAGATCTTACTCATGTGACCAAACACTACCTGGTACCCAATAACCTATGGAAATAAAATAATTTTTTTAAAAAAACGAAACTAGGCTGCACGTGGTGGCTCACATCTGTAATCCCAGCACTTCGGGAGGCCGAGGCGGTGGATTACCTGAGGTCAGGAGTTTGAGACTGGCCTGGCTGACATGGTGAAACCCTGTCTCTACTAAAAGTACAAAAATTAACCGGGCGTGGTGGCACACACCTGTAATCCCAACTACTCGGGAGGCTGAGGCAGGAGAATTGCTTGAGCCCGGGGGACAGAGGTTGCAATGAGCCGAGATCATGCCACTGCACTCCAGCCTGGCCAACAGAGCGAGATTCTGTGTCAAAAAGAAAAGAAAAAGAAACTAATAGGGAACAAAAGCTAGTATCACTCTTACACGAGATCTTTAGGTATTATACAGTAAAACTATCTCAATCTCAGTAAGAACTAAGTAAATAAATAAAATGACAATAAGGGACTTTTATGCATCCAAAATTTTCAGGTGAAGATCATAAGTTCTCTAGCATCATTACATGTCCAGGTTATATTTATTGAGCCTTACTTGCTCCTTCCCACACATTAACATTTCAGAATTATATATCATTGATAACAGGTATTCTCTAAACTCACCTGACAGGGTTAATATCAAAAAATAAAAACAAAATTAATGGCATTTAAATAAAAATAGCCTCTGGCTTGAGCCCATCCTGGCGACGACAGTGAAATTCCAGCATCCCCCCAATCTTCTCAGAGTTCTTGGATGGCCTGAGAATGATCCCCACAGCCTCTAGCCAGTACCAGCAACGTTCTTGCAAGACGCTCCCCTCCTTCTTTCAATTGGTTCCACCTCTGTCTGCTAAGGCTGCTTTCCTCTCTCTTATGGCTCACTTTACTGATACTGAACTCCTCCCTTCCCAATATTGAGATCCACTGTGTCCTGGGGCTGGGACTGTACCTCTCCCGTATCACTGCCCTGCTCCTCACCACCACTGCTTCTGTCCTGAGTCACAAGCCCTCAGCTAAGCCACAGCATGCAAGTGTGTGTTTCAGTCCAGAGGCAGAGCTGGAGGCCACTTGCTCCAGAAGAAAATGTGCACTTTACTTTCTTGCCTTGCTGCATCCACAAGAGGGAGCCTCGTGCCAGCTTCTCCAGTCAGAGTGGTAGCCCCCAAGACTTCCTCTTCCATCCACCTTTAGGTGCAGCATCCAACAAGGTCAAAATCACAATGTCTTGCGTCTAATCAAAAATTACCAGGCATGCAAAAAAACAGAAAAATATGACCCTTAATATAGAGAAAACAAACATGAAAAACAACCCAGAAAAGACACAGACTATGGAATTAGTGGAAATAGTTATTGTAATTGTATCCTATGTGCTCAGAAATTTAGAAGACTGAACGTGTTGGCAGATACATTTTTTAAAATACCTTTTTCTGAAATTAAAACTACAATGTCTAACATGAAAATACACTGGATGAGATTAACAGCAGATTAGACACTAAGAAGAAAAGATATGTGAACTTGAAGACAGCAATAAAAAGCATTCAAATTGAAATACAAGGAGAAAAAAACGACTGAAAAGAAACGAGAAGAGCATCAGGGCATTGTGGGACAACTTCAATCAGTCTGAAAAATGAAAAGATGCTTCCAGATCTAAAAAAGAATCCTTTAAATTTTCAAAGAGCCCATCAGAATTTTTAATAGCTCTATTAGAAAAAGAAATTTTCATTTTGCTGCTTAAGTTCCAGCAGGCCAATCTTTGTGACGAATCCCTTGGGATGTTGCCAATCCAGACAGGCAGCTCTTAAGGTGACACAACAGTCATCCCAGGACTTACCACCACATCAGTCATTTTGTTACTGTCTTTAATCATGTAAAATACTTGACCAATGAGGGTTCCTTCCAGCAATGCAAAAGTTATTCAACAATAGGAATCCTGTCTACATCAATCATTACATTTATAAATTAAGAGGAAAACTCACATGATTTCATGAATTAATATAAAAAGGCATTTCTCTAATATTTAACAGCATTCTAATAAAAACATTAACATAGGAATAGAGAGAAGCTATCTAAACAAGATGAAAACTGTTTACCAAAACAGAATTCTATTTTTAATCATGATGGAATAATAGAGACTAGATGTACCTTCCCTCCTCACGTAACTAAAAGCTAGACAAAATATGTGAAGCGAAAGTTTTCAGACATTGGACAACAGGTAGTGCAAGACTGTGATCCCTGAGAGAAAGACAAGTGAGATGAGCCCTGCAAATACTCCCAGCTCACTTCCTGGAGAATTTCCAGGCTGACCACAGGAAAAAGATACCAAAACAGAGTCCAACAGTCTCACTGATTAAGGAGACAAAGTTTAGAGTTCCAGCAGGGCAAAATGAGAAAAAATTGTGAGGCAAAGTACAAAGAAAAAGAACAGCAGAGAGTGAGGGTTCCAGAGATCTGCAGAGCAGTCCCTCAAGACTTTGGCTGAGTACTGCTATGCGCTTGTGTAAGGAGACTACTGAGGCTGGGGAAAGAACAGCAGAGAAGAGTAAGCAGAACAATTTCAGGAGTTTACACAGGACCAGAAATAGTGTCTTCCCTAGCCAGTTTGGGAAGATCTCCTAATACGGTGGGGCATTGGGTACAGTTCTCAAAAGCTTATTGCTTCAGTGGGGCCAAATTAACCCTCAGTGTAAAAGTAAAGTATCTAAAGGAATGTTTAGAAATCCAGCACCCAATAACATAAAGTGTACAATGTCTGGCATTCAATAAAAGATTACCTGGTATGCAAATAAGCAGCAACATATGACCCAGTACCAGAAAAAAAAAAATCATTCTATAGACATAGACCTATATATGACTCAGATGTTAGAATTTGCAGGCAAGGACATCAAAACAAGAATTATAAATTCACTCCATATGTTCAAGAAGTACAAGAACGTGTAAGTATAGTCAGGAGAAAAATGAAACGCCTAACTAAACTTCTAGAAATGAAAAATACCATAACTAAACTGAAAAATACATTGGCAGGATTAACAGCAGATTAAATGCTACAAGAGGAAAGATTTGTGAATCTGAAGATATGGCAACAGGAACTATCCAAATTAAACACTGAGAGAAAATATAAGCCAGAAAAAAAACTAAACAAAGCATCAATAAGTTGTGGGACAATATAAAGTAGCCCAACATATACATAACTGGAGTATCCAGAAGAGGGGAGGAAAATAATACTTGAAAAAAATGGCCATTTTTTCCCAAATTTAATGAAAATAATTAACCCACATGTATTAGTCAGGGCTCTACAAAGAAACAGAAGGAACAGGATATATATATATATAGTATTAATATTAGTATTATACTGTACATAGCTTATATATATAAAATACATTACAGGTGTGAGCCACCATACCCAGTATATGTATTATTTATATATGTAAATATGTGGTATTTTTACTAATATAAATATATTGGTAACATATAACTATATTTACATATACGAACATATTAGAGGGAGAGAGATTATATGAAGAATTGGCTCACGCAGTTATGAAGGCCAAGAAGTGCCATGATCTGCCATCTTCTAGTCAGAGACCCAGGAAGGCCAGTGCTATAATTCAGCCAGTGGTTGAGTCCATCCAGAAGCACTCTCATGGACACACCAAAAATTATGTTCAACCTGCACGGCCCATGGCCCAGTCAAGTTGACACATAAAATTTATTATCACAAGTCTACCCTTTGTCAACTTGGCACCCATACACGTCTCCTCAAACCAAACTTATTTTCCAAATAAAAATAATAGGTCGTAATTCTGCCTATCTTAATACTACCCTGGATACAATAAAAAACACAGTTAACTTCTTTCCCAGATGAGGAGGTAAAATCCTTGAAAGAAGTTTACTCTTTGATATCCTGTAACACTTGGCTGGGTGCAGTGGCTCACACCTGCAATCCCAGCACTTTGGGAGGCCAAGGCAGGCAGATCGCTTGAGCTCAGGAGTTCAAGACCAGCCTAGGCAACACGCTGAAACACCAACTCTACAAAAAAATACAAAAATTAGCCAGGCATGGTGGTATGTGCCTGTAGTCCCAGCTACTTGGAAGGCTGAGGTGGGAGGATGACTTGAGCCCAGAAGGCAGAGATTGCAGTAAGCCAAGATTGTGCCACTGCACTACAGCCTGGGTGACAGAGCCAGACCCTGTCTCAAAAAATATTAATTAAATTTACAATACTTAAATAGTATGATATAAAATAGTATAAATACACCTTATGTTACATAAGGGCATAAACGTGGAAGGATAACAAAGATACACACACAAATGTGTTTATGCAAAATAAAGGAGAAAATAGACATGGCAATTTACCATCTTTGTTTCTGTAATTGGCCACATGGTCATGGCCAGTATTTACAACTACCTTTTCCCACCACCCATTCTGTATTCCCGTTGCCTTCAGCAAGCACCTCAGCTTTATTCAGTAGGGCAACCTCAACTTTTATTCCTGAAGGGTCTGAGCCATTTGTAGCCCTGCCTGGTTGGGTTGTAGTTTTCTATTGACATAAAACACAGGGCATGGTAATACTAAAAGATACCCTAAGGAATCTCCTGTATTCTGGATATACTTTTCCTTAACTCCATTGTGGAATAGTAGTCCAATTTCCCCCTTGGTAGTCAGGACCAATCATCCCAGCCAATACTGTAACTCCCTTCTTTACCTATTAATTGAGAAATATGAGGACCCCAAAGTAGCCAGGCAGAAGTCTTAACTTCCAGTTCTTGGGATCATTGTTGTGTCTCCTGGTGGAAATATCCCTGCCTTATGGAAATATCCCTTCCTCTAGAACTAAGACCTCTAGGTCAGCAAAGCATAAAGTTAGGAACAGGAAGCAAAAATTTTGCTAGTGTGTCACTCGGGGTAATAGTGAGTGGTGCCATTCCCACTTTTGTCCTTTGATTTCCTGACCTGTGAGTGCTACTAGCTACAGGAGAAACAAGATCTTATATTGGACTCTGATTCATAGCATATACTGCCTTCTGGGGAACTTCACTCCACCCCCGCAAGATATTGCCACCTAGCTGGTGTCGTAACTGAGACTTCAAAATGCTATTCCACTGTTTTATCAAGCCAGTTGCTTCAGGATGATGGGGAACATAATCAGACCAGCAAATTCCACGGGCATGGGTCCATTGCTGTGTTTCTTTTGCTGTAAAGTGAGTTCCTTGATCAGAAACAACGCAATGTGAAATACTACAACGATGAATAAAGCATTCTACAAGCCCATGGATGGTAGTTTTGGCAGAAGCACTGTGTGCAGGGAAGACAAAACGATATCCAGAGTGAGTGTCTATCACATTAAGAACAAACACTGTCCCTTCTATGATGAAACGTCCCCACATAATCAACCTACCACGAGGTGGCTGTGTGATCACCCTAGGGACTCAATGTTGGTCTCTGCTCAATGTTGACCATATCAGGGACTCAATGTCGCTCTCTGCTGTTGGCAGATTGGACCTTCAGCAGTGACTGTAAGCCAGGTTGGCCTTGTTGAGTGAAGTCCACGTTACTTTACCAAGCATAACCTCCATCACTGCCATCACGGTCACTTTGTTCATGAGACCATTAGGCAATGACAGAGGTAGCTGAGAAAAAAGGGCAAGCAGTATCCGCAGAATGGGTCATCTTGTCCACTTGATTATTAAAATTCCCTTTGGTGAATATTCACATGGGACACAAATATCACCATGTGTTTTGCACACTCAGAGAAGTCTGTCCATATATCTCTTCCTTAAATTTGTCACCAATTTTCCAATCGTGTTCCTCTCAATTCCCTGAACATCCAGCCAAACCACTGGCCACAGCCTGAAGTGATATATAATCACAGGTCTGGCCATTTCTCCTTCCAAGAGAAGTGCACAATCAGATGCACTGCTCAAAGCTCTGACTAGTAAGATATCCCTGGCTTTCAGGGATATCCCAGTAAGAGGTTCTAGTACTGCAGCTGTCCACTTTTGGGTGGTGTCTGCATATTGTGCAGAACCATCTGCAAACCAGGCCTGAGTCTTCTCCTGTCGATTGATCATAGGGAACTCCCGGTAACACCATAGGTGCAGGCAGTGGGAGAGAAGGCAGTGCTGCAAGAGTAGATACCATGAGCATTTGGGCCACTTCTTCATGGAACTTACGTGTGCCTTCAGGGCCTATTCCAACAGGATCATGTATGTACTACTTCCATTTGATGATGGAGTGCTGTGTATGCCAAATTTTATGACTTGGTGGATCGGATAACACCCAGTTCATGAATAGGCAGCTCGGGTTGCATGGTAACTTGGCAGCCCATGGTCAAACATTCAGTCTCTACTAAGGCCCAGTAGCAGACCAAGAATTGTCTCCCAAAAGAAAAGTAGTCATCTTTGGAGGATGGCAGGGCTTTTTTCCAAAATTCTATATGCTTGCACTGTGATTCTTCCATTCATCCCTATCTGCCGTTGACACCTCAAGCACCATGGGTCCACTGGATCATATGACTCAAGCAGGAGAGCAGCTTGCACAGCAGCCTGGTCCTGTTGCAGAGCCTTCTCTTGTTGTGGGCCCCACTCAAATCCAGCAACTTTTTGGGTTACTGGGTAAATGGGCCAGAGTAACACTCGCAAATGAGGAATGTTGACTCTAAAATCTTAAGAGGCCCGCTTTCTTGGTTGTAGGAGGGGCCAGATGCAACAATATACCCTTCACTTTAAAAGGGTTGTCTAGCCATGCTCCACGCCACTTGACGAATAGACATTTTGCTGACATATAAGCAAAATTTGCCTGAATTTTAGGCAAGTCACACAAACGTCTTACCAATAAGTCTACAGTAGCTGTTATTTCTTACTCACCAGGTCTAATCAGCATTTAAAATGCTGGAGGAAAAAAAAAGTTTAAAAAAAGGATCACTAAGATTAAAACAACATCAAGTAGCCTAACAACCGTATAATTGAAGTTCCCAGGAAAAAGGAGGGAAAAAAAAAAAAACTTGAAAAAAGCGGCCATTTTTTCCAAATTTAATGAAAATTATTAATCTAAATATTCGAAAATAGGCTGTGCATGGTGGCTCATGCCTGTAATCCCAGCACTTTGGGAGGCCAAGTCGGGCAGATTACCTGAGGTCGGGAGTTCAAGACCAGACTGGCTAACATAATGAAACCCTGTCTCTACTAAAAATACAAAAATTAGCCAGGCATGGTAGTGGGTGCCTGAAATCCCAGCTACTCAGGAGACTGAGGCAGGAGAGTGGCTTGACCCTGGGAGGGAGAGGTTGCAGTGAGCCAATATCGCACCACTATACTCCAGCCTGGGAGACAAGAGTGATACCCTGTCTCAAAAAAAAATAAAAATAAAAATAAATAAATATTCAAAAATATAAACTATCCTCAAGTAAGATAAACATTTATTTGAAACACCAAGGCACATCATAAACACACTGCTGGAAAGCAGTGATAAAAAACCTTTAAAGTAGTCAGAGGCACACTGCAATGACAGCAAACTTCCTAGGGTGAATGTAAGCCAAGAAACAATAGTGAGGCCACTTTAAAATACTGAAAGAAACTGCCAGTCTAAATTTCTATACCCAGTGTAATGGTTGGCTGGAGCTACCTTAACAAAGTACCACACACTGGGTGCCTTAAACAACGGAAATGTATTGTCTTACTGTTCTAGAGGCTAGAAGTTTGAGATCAAGGTGTCCACAGGGTTGGTTCCTTCTGAGGGCTGTGAGGAATACTAGGTTCCATGCCCCTTTGGTGGCTTCTGGCGGTTTGCTGGCAAGTTTTGGAATTCCTTAGCTTCTGCTGCTTCAACACCAACTTCCGCCTTCATTTTCACCTGGCATTCTCGCTCTTCAGTGTGTCTCTGTCCAAATTGCTCCTTTTGATAAGGACACCAGATATACTGGATTAGGGCCCCATTCTACTCCAGAATGAACTCATCTTAACGTAACTAATTACATTTGCAATCACCTTATTTCCAAATTAGCTCAGATTCTGAGATACCCAGGATTAGGACTTAAATATAAGAATTTGCGGGGACATGATTCAACCTACAATACTCAGTAAAAGTATCTTTTGGTGGGGCACAGTGGCTCGCACTTGTAATCCCAGCACTTTGAGAGGCCGAGGCAGGCAGATCACCTGAGGTCGGGAGGTTGAGACCAGCTGACCAACATGGAGAAACCCCGTCTCTACTAAAAATACAAAATTAGCCAGGCGTGGTGGTGTGTGCCTGTAATCCCAACTACTCTGAAGGCTGAGGCAGGAGAATCGCTTGAACCCAGAGGCAGAGGTTGCAGTGAACTGAGATTGCACCATTGCACTCCAGCCTGGGCAACAAGAGTGAAACTCCGTCCCCCACAAACAAAAAAATAGAAAAGACGTACCAAAAGGCAAAAAACACAACTTGAAAAAATGGAGCAAACATCAGAACGAGACTTAGACATGTCAGGGACGTTGGAATTATCAGACCAGTAATTTAAAACACCCATGATACATACGTGAAGGGCTCTAGTAAATAGCATGCAAGAACTAATGGACGGGCCGGGCGCGGTGGCTCAGGACTATACTCCCAGCACTTTGGGAGGCCGAGGCGGGCGGATCTCCTGAGGTCAGGAGATCGAGACCAGCCTGACTAACACGGTGAAAACCTGTCACTACTAAAAATACAAAAAATTAGCCGGGCGCGGTGGTGGGCACCTGTAGTCCCAGCTACTTGGGAGGCTGAGGCAGGAGAATGGCGTGAACCCGGGAGGCGGAGCTTGCAGTGATCCGAGATCGTGCCACAGCACTCCAGCCTGGACGACAGAGTGAGACTCCGTCTCAAAAAAAAAAAAAAAAACAAACAACAACAACAAAAAAAACCCTCACTCTAAGACTATTTAATTTTCCTGATACACAGTTCATACCAAAAAGATAAGATAAATGCTTAATTCTTTCCTTTTAATTACTAATTTTTTAACAAATAATTTGGTGCCTTAGCAATCTCCAAAACTGTCTAATTAGTTTTATTTATCTTTCTCTTTTGAACTAAAATTAATGATTTTTATGAATTCAATGTTTTTATATATATTCAATATGTTGTAAGTTGTTGGCATTATGTTGGGTTTTCAAATTATCCCATCGTTAGACAGAACATCCCTTCAAGCAAGCTCCTGTTTTCTCTGGACAAACTCCTTTTTCTTTTAACCGAGGTTTCCCCAAGTCAGAGCCAAAGGAAAGGCTTCTGTGTAGGTAGCGCATTTGGGAAGGTGATTCCACGGACCAGGAGTGCATGCCATGGGGAATGCTAGGAAGGGGGGACATGGTGGCCACTGGGAGCCTTTTTCTTTTTTTCTGACTTGTACTTTTTGAGGAGCATTTTAAAACATGTCTCAGAATTCTCCACCTAATGGCAAAGAGGTGAAGCATTTATACAATGGCTGCTACTCCTCACTGATCAAGAGTAACCTCCTGGGTTACTCCACCCAAATTCCCAGTTGCACTTGCATGACCACTAGGTGGGTTCCTACCAAGTTTCTATACCTAGGAAAGAGTCAGATACACTCTAGGGTGGAAAACAAGTGATCAGTAGCACAACCAGACAGGAAACATTATCTGTTTATCCCTGTACAAAACCTGTCAAAGCTTGCATAAACAACTGACCACAGCTACGCCCGAAATAAGAGGTGAGGCTGGGAGGACTTTGAATGTTGCACAAGAGGTGTCCGGTGCTGTTCACTCTGAGCTATTCATGCATCTCTAAGTCTAGTCTATCACAGAACCTCCTTCAACAGTGATCAGCCACAATTTCTGCAAGAATTCCATGTAAGTGGATAAGTGGAACAAATTACAGTTCCCACTGCTCAGCAGGTCCAACGCCATGATTGGGATAATCATCACATACCACCTTCATCCTCACTTCAGCCTGCAGCATACTTCTGAAAAGAAGTTAATCTCTTGAGGGTTTTTTTTTTTTTTTTTTTTTTTTTTTTGCCTTTGAGTATACATGTGATTGCTAGATTGTAAATGCAAATTCCTGAAAGACTGTTTCTGAAAGCAGAATGATGCAACAGAAAATGAAAAGGTTTCCCTCTTATTCCAGCAGTATCTTGTCTTCAAAGAGAAGTCCATTACATCTTGCCTTGATTTTTACGGTTGTGTTCTTGGATGGAAAGCTTAACTGGGTAGTAATTTCCAAATGTTCTTTATAACCACTCTGTATATTATAAGCAAAATTGTTTCATATTTTGTTGTATCTTTTCCTGTTTAGCACTTCATGCTTTTTAGTCTATTGCATTTGAGAATGTAGTTTAGAAATTATTTTACTGTTAAAGCCATGTGAAAACTAATAGAAGATAATGAAAATGAGTGTACGTTATTTTGTATTTAACTTACTGTTTTGTGGTGTGTGTAAACAAAACATTAGAAATATGTTGTCTTTTTATAATAATGCTCTTTGACCTCATTTAAAGTGATCTGCCATGAGGTCTCAATGATCAAGTTTTTGTTTATTCTAGTGTGTTTTATTCCAATACCTAAGGAATTCAGCCAACTTTTTTTCTATCATCAGATAGTCTCAGAAAATAATGTGCTTTATCTATATTATTGCCTCTTTTCAATATTTAAGAGAATAATTGTCTTCTGGTTTCTACTGAGCCTAGTAATAATCACTAAAGACCTAAAAAAAGTGAGTAATTTTTTTCTTCCGTTAGAGTATTTGGATAGCCCATTCAAGATAATGGTGGTGTGAAAATGAATCATCCAAGCTTTTTTGCCATATCTAAATTTTGAATAATACCCACTTCCAAAAATTTCAAATATTGTCTTATAGCAGTCACTACCACTTGCATTAATCCTGTATATTCAGTGGATGTGAAGTCATAATTTGGTATTGTATCAGAAGTAGTGTTAGTCACTGGTCTTGCTCGTTGAACATTATTTTCATTTGTAAAATTAGGGAATTGGTTTGTTATGATGGGAAATAAGTTAATTTTCAGGGTCCTGAGAAAGTTGCTTCATTCATGGCAGTGCTTGGGGTAACTACAGTAACTTTTTTTCAGGTATTTGGTGTCATGTTTTGGAGTTAATGTTTAGTGCTTACATAATTTTTAATTATTACATAATTTTTATTGGTATCTTACCTTTTTGGTATGAACTGTGTATCAGGAAAATTAAATAGTCTTAGAGAATGAGTTGTGTTTTTTTTGAGACGGAGTCTCACTCTGTCGTCCAGGCTGGAGTGCAGTGGTGTGATCTCGGCTCACTGCAAGCTCCGCCTCCCGGGTTCACGCCATTCTCCTGCCTCAGCCTCCCGAGTAGCTGGGACTACAGGTGCCCGCCACCATGCCCAGCTAATTTTTTGTATTTTTAGTAGAGACGGGGTTTCATCATGTTAGCCAGGATGGTCTCGATCTCCTGACCTTGCGATCTGCCTGCCTCGGCCTCCCAAAGTGCTGGGATTACAGGTGTGAGCCACCGCACCCGGCCGAGAGTTTTTATTTATAGAATACTGCACTCCAGCCTGGGTGACAAAGTGAGACTCTGTCTTAAAAAAATAATAAAATAAGTAATGAAGATAACTTTCCATATCTTCCTGTTATGCTCATACATGTAACACACATGTAAACATTTTTTAAACAACAATGTGTGTGTGTGTAATATAATCTCATTAATGTGAATCAAATGAACAAAAAAAAAAAATTACCAACTCGATCGAACATACATATCCTGAACACTCTACGCAACAGCAGCAGGACACACAGGCTTCTCAAGTGCACGTGGAACATTCTTCAGGAAGACCATATGTTAAGCCACAAATCAAATCTCAGTAGATGTTAAGAGATAAAAATCATACAAAGTATCTTCTCTAACCACAGAAACATGAAGTTAGAAACCAGTAACAGAAGGAAAACTTGAAAAATTACAAATTTGTGGATATCAAACAACACATTCTTAAGAAAACAATAGGTCAAAGAAGAAATCACAAAGGAAATTAGAAAATACTTGGAGATGAACAAATCGAGAACACAACATACCAAAACTTGTGGAATACAACAAAAGCAGTGCTGGGGGAGACAATTATAGCTGAAAATGCTTGTATTTTGAAAAGAGTGATGATCTCAAATCAACAACCTAACTTTACAACTCAAGGAACTAAAAAAATGAGAACAAACTAAACCAAAATCTAGCCAAGGGAAGGGAGTAATAATGATTAGAGCAGAAATACATAAAATAAAGAGCAGAAAAACAACAGAGGAAATTAACGAAACTCAAAATTGGTTCTTTGAAAAACATTAATGAAATTGACAAACCTTTAGCTAGATTGACTAAGAAAAAGAGAGAAGTCTCAAATTACTTAAACCAGAAATGAAAATGAGAAATATTACTACTAATTCTATATAAATAAAAAAGATTTTAAGAGAGTATTATGGACAGTTGGACTCCAACAAATTGGATAACTGGTATAGTTTGTTTCTGCTCCCTCTAAAATTCATGCTGAAATTTAATCCAAATGCAACAGTATTAAGAGGTGTGACTCTTGGGAAGCAGAGCCCTCATGAACGGAATTAGGTGCCCAAGGGGTTTAACTGAGGGAGTCCACCCCTTTTCCCCTTCCATGCCTTCCACCATGTAAGGACACAGAGTTCCTCTTCTCCAGAGGATGCAGCAACAAGGTTTCATATCTTGGAAGAAGCAGCTGGCCTATCACCAGATCCTGCTGGCACCTTCATTGTGAACTCCCCAGCCTCCAGAACTGTGAGAAATAAATTTCTGATCCTTATAAATTACTCCGTATTAGATATTTTGTTATAGCAGCACATACAGACTAAGACAATAATGAAGATAATTCATAGAACCCACAAAACCCATTAAAACTGAGTCATGGCAAGCCAAATCCAACAGCACATCAAAAAGATAATTCACAATAGCCAAAATACGAAAACAATCTGAATGTCCATCAAGTGATGAATAAACAAAATATATATGTACACACACACAATGGAATATTATTCTGCCTTCAAAAGGAATGAAATTCTGATACGTAACACAACATGGATGAACTTGAAGGCATTATGATAAGTAAAATAAGTCAGACACAAAAAGACAAATATTGTATGATTCCACTTATATGAGGTACCTATAGTAGTCAAATTCATAGAGACAGAAAGAACAGTGGTTACCAGAGGCTAGGGGGAGGGAGGAATGTGGAGTTAATGTTTAATGGGTACAGAGTTTCAGTGTGAGGTGATGAAAAAGTTCTGGAGATGGATAGTGATGACAGTTGCACAACCTGTGTAAATATACTTAATGTCACTGAACTGTGCAATTAAAAATGTTTAACACATTTTAGAAAGAAAGAAAGGCATTCTATAGTTCAGTGTGGACCCTCAGCCACCCTCACTTGTCCTTGTTACCTGCCTGGCTCTGTATCTTGAATTTTCTTTTATTTATTTATTTATTTTTTTTAAGACAGGGTCTCACTCTGTCTCCTAGACTGGAGTGCAGTAGCACCATCATAGACCACTGCAGCCTCAAACTCCTGGGCTCAAAAGATCCTCCTGCCTCAGCCTCTCAAGTAGTTAGGATTACAAGTGTGTGCCACAATGCCTCGCTAATTTTTAAAATTTTTATAGAGATGGGGTCTTGCCGTGTTGTGCAGGCTGGTCTCAAACTCCTGGCCTCAAGCAATCCTCCCACCTTGACCTCCCAAAATGCTAGGATTACAGGTGTGACTCACTGTATGGGCTGCATCTTGAATTTTTACCTCCTACCTGCTTGCCCCTGTATCTTCAATTTTCAGTCATTTCTGAATAGTCTCAGGTTCTGATGAAGAATAAACCACCAGCCCACAATGACAACTGCCATGTACTGCTGAGACCCTAGAAGCTGAGACTCAAAAGAGATTAACTGACTTCGCCCCAGGTCACATAATCAAACAGAAACAGGTTCAAACACCTGCACCCGCCAGGACCCAGTGTGCACCCCCAAATCCTGATGCAACCATCAGAACTTCATCACAGCAATCCCTTTGTACCAACCTGCCAAGTTCCTGCTGCTGGAGGCACTGGCTCTGAAACCACATAGAAAGAGAGATTGGGCTTAAAGTGCCATCCTCACAGGACAAGGCTAGCACTTTCCCATCATTTCATAAAGATTGGGTGAAGGGCCCGCTCTCTTGGAAACTGGGACTCAGAATGTGATGATAGATCTTCTGCCTCTAGTAAGAATGGACTTAGAGAAGATGGGCTTTCCCAAGAGACTTAGAGTTTTGGAGGACTGTTATGGAATAGAAAGAAGGGAGGAACTGTTCTAGATCAGCAAGAAAGATTTACCACACAAAGACTGGCACAAGGGACAGCCTGGAAGAAAAGTAATCTGGTGTAACAGGAAAGGTGAGAATGGAAGGAGAGAGGTAGAGATGGCTCAGACTCAAAGTTTGATGAGTGTGAACAGGATCCAGTGAAAAGAGCAGAGACAAAGTCAAGGAGGATATGGGCTTAGGGAGGAGACTTGCATTTAGGAAAGAGTGGAGGGAATGAAGGTAGGAAGGGATCCAGTGAAGGGTAGGAGTCTCAGAACAGGTAGGGAGGAGGCTCTGAAAGAGAAGTCAGGGAGGCCCCATAAATGATTTAGTTACCATTTATGCAGATGGGCCCAAATACCATCAAGCTTCTGCAGTGCTCCAGGCCCTCCCATGCTCGGATCTCCCAGTCGTGATCCCTCCCAGGCAGGTTCTTCTAACTACAGGTCTGTGGGCAATGCAAGCACAAAGGTAGCAAGGCCAGCCAGTTGCAACTTTTTAACTTTACCAATGCATCATAACTATTTTCCTGGTCAATAAATATAAATCTAATTCATCATTTTTCAATGTAACACATTGCAGAAATATAATAAAATGCATGCTATATTTAACTACTCCCATGTTGACAGACATTTGCTATCTTGCACAATGCTGCAATAAGGATCTTCAAGATTATTCTTATCTACTAATTCTGTACAGTGGAGTTCCTAAACTGATTATTGGGCAAATTGAATGGTATATTGAGATTTTTCTTTAACCCATCTTTAACTTTCGTTTATCATGTAAAGTAGAAGGGGAGATGTTCTGATTTGGTTAGGATATGGAATTAGCTACATATAACAAAAACCTCAAGTAACTGTGACTTACATAGACATAATTTTATTTATCTTTCACCTAACAATCTGGAGGTGGTCATTCCAGGTGGGCACTAGTGGACACTAGTTTAGTAGTCTACACTAGTAAGAGACCACTGTGTGAAACTATCCAAGGATCTAGCTTCCTTTTGCCCTAACATTGGTCTAAGATGACGCATTACCATCTTCCAGGCAGCAGGAGAGGGGAAAGGGAGAAGATGGGCACACTCTCTTCTTTGCAGGACACCACCCGGAAGTTGCCTATATCACTTCCACTCACAGCCCATTGGCCTGAACTTAGTCATATAATTCCACCTAGCTAAAAGGAAGGCTGGTGTGTTAGTCCATTCTCAAACTGCTATAAAGAACTACCTGAGACTGGGTAATTTATAAAGAAAAGGTTTAATCAACTCTCAGTTCCAGAGGCTATATGAGAGGCATGACTGGGGAGGCCTCAGGAAACTTACAATAATGGAGGAAGGGCGAGAGGGAAGCAAATACATCTTCACATGATGGCAGGAGAGATAGAGCAAAGGGGGAAGTGCTACACACTTTTAAACAACCAGGCCTCGTGAGAGCTCACTCACTATCACAAGAACAGCAAGGAGGAAATTTGCCACCATGATCCAATCACCCCCCACCAAGCCCCTCCTGCAACACTGGAGATTACAATTCAACATGAGATTTGGGTGGGGACACAGAGCCAAACCGTATTATTTCACCCCAACCCCTCCCAAATCTCATGTCCTTGTCACATTTCAAAATCAATCATGCCTTCACATCAGTCCCCGCAAGTCCAAAGTCTTATCTGAAACAAGGCAAGTCCCTTCCACCTATGAGCCTGTAAAATCAAAAATGAGTTAGTTACTTCCAAGATACAATGGGGATACAGGTATTGGGTAAGTGCTCCTGCTCCAAAAGATACAAATTGGCCAAAAGAAAGGAGCTACAGGCCCTATGCAAGCCCAAAACGAGCAGAGACATCATTAAATCTTAGAGCTCCAAAATAACCTCCTTTGACTCCACGTCTCACTTCTAGGGCACACTAATGGAAGGGGTGGGCTCCCAAGGCCTTAGGCAGCTATGCTCATGTTGGGAACAGGCCCCCCAAAACCTGGCCATAAACAAACTCTCTGCAGCACTGTGACATGTTCATGATGGCCATAACACCCACGCTGGATGGTTGTGGGTTTACTGGAATGAGGGCAAGGAACACCTGGCCCACCCAGGGCAGAAAACTGTTTAAAGGCATTTTTAAGCCACAAACTATAGGATGAGGAATCTGTGTCTTAAGGACATGCTCCTGCTGCAGATAACTGGCCAAACTCATCCCTTTATTTCAGCCCATTCCTTCGTTTCCCATAAGGGATACTTTTAGTTAATCCCGTTTCCCATAAGGGATACTTTAAGTTAGTCTGATATCTATAGAAACAATGCTAATGACTGGCTTGCTGTTAATAAATATGTGGGTAAATCTCTGTTCGGGACTGTCAGCTCTGAAGGCTGTAAGACCCCTGATTTCCCACTCTACACCTCTATATTTCTGTGTGTGTCTTTAATTCCTCTAGCACTGCTGGGTTAGGGTCTCCCCAACCAAGCTGATCTCAACATGCTCATGTAACTCTGCAGGGCTCAGCTCCCATAGCTGCTCTCAAGAGCTGGCATTGAGTAGGCCTGCGGCTTTTCCAGGCACGCAGTGCAAGCTGTTGGTGGATCTACCATTCTGGGATCTGGAGAATGGTGACTGTCTTCTCACAGCTCCACTGAGCAGTGCCACAGTGGGGACTCTGTGTGGGGGCTCCAACCCCACATTCTCCCTCTGCACTGCCCTAGTAGAGGTTCTCCATGAAGCCTCTGCCCCTGCAGCAGACTTCTGCCTGGACATTCACGCATTTCTATACATCCTCTGAAATCTAGACAGAGGTTCTCAAACCTCAACTCTTGCCTTCTGTGCACCTGCAAGCCCAATACCACTTGGAAGCCACCAAGGCTTGGGGCTTGCACCCTCTGCAGCAATGGCCCAAGCTATACTTTGGCCCCTTTAGCCAAAGCTGGAGCTGGAGTGGCTGGGACACACGGCGTCATGTCCCAGGGTTGCACAGAGCAGTGGGGTCCTGGGCCTGGTGCACAAAACCATTTTTCCTCCTAGGCTTCCAGGCCTGTGATGGGAGGGGCTGCCATGAAGGTCTCTGAAGTGCCCTGGAGGCACTTTCCCCCGTTGTCTTGGCTATTAACATTTGGCTCCTCTTTACTTACGCACATTTCTGCAGCAGGTTTGAATTTCTCCCAAGAAAATGGGTTTTTCTTTCCTAAAACATGGTCAGGCTGAAAATTTTCCAAACTTTTATGCTCTGCTTCTCTTTTAAATATAAGTTCCCTTTGCTTATGCAAATGAACATAGGCTTTTAGAAACAGTCAGACGACCTCTTGAATGCTTTGATGCTTAAAATTTCTTCCACCAGATACCCTAAATCATCTCAAATTCACAGTTCCACAGATCCTTAGAGCAAGAGCACAATGCTGTCACTCTTTCTGAAGCATAGCAACAGTGACCTGTGCTTCATTTTCCAGTAACTCCCTCATCTCCATCTGAGACCACCTCAGCCTGGACTTTATTGTCCATATAACTATCAGCATTTTGGTCAAAACCAATCAACAAGTCTCTAAGAAGTTCCAAACTTTCCCTCATCTTCCTGTCTTCTTCTGAGCCCTCCGAAGTGTCCCAACCTCTGTCTGTTACCAGTTTCAAAGCTGCTTCCACATTTTCAAGTATCTTTGTAACAATGCCCCACTTCTCCTGGTATGAGTTTTCTGTGTTAGTCAGTTCTCACACTACTATAAAGAACTACCTCAGACTAGGTAATTTATAAAGAAAAGAGTTTAAATAGACTCACAGTTCCACAGGCTATACAGGAGGCATCGTTGGGGAGGCCTCAGGAAGCTTCCAATCATGGCAGAAGGTTGCAGGGTAAAGGAGCATGTCTTCACATGGTGGCAGGAGAGAGAGAGCAAAGGGGGAAGTGCTGCACACTTTTAAACAACCAGATTTCGTGGGAATGCACTCATGATCATGAGAACAGCATTGGGAAATCTGCCTCATGATCCAATCACCTCCCACCAGGTCCCTCCCCCAACACTGAGGATTACAGTTCAACACGAGATTTGGCTGTGGACACAGAGCTAAACTATATTAGCTGGAGAAAATAATAATACTTATTCTGGATGGCTAGCACCATGATGGCCAAGGAGAGATTAGATAATGAGAAACTCTATAATAGGATCTTCCAAAAGAATAGTCAATTATACTAGCAACACACAAACCACTTCCCATTGAATTAAAATGCCATCCTTGCCTTTTACTAAGTTCCACATACAATTGGATTCATTTCAGAACACTAATCTTTCTTGCAATATTGGTCATTGCAAGGAAAATTTGTGTGTTTTTGCTTTGTAAGATTTGTGTGGTTTTGCTTTGCAAGTCTAGCACTAGGTTTTGGGAAATGACTGTATTGTGAAAGGAAATCAGAATTCTTTCTGAGCCTCTTTCATTGTCCCTAATATAATCACTTCCAGAAAATTGTCTATCTGGAATCAAAGAGATTTAACAGCAAGACTCCAGGTTGTTAAAATATAATCGTTTTTTAAATGCTCATGTTTGTAAAGCACCTTCGGTTCTTTGGATGAAAGGTGCTATATTCCCTCAGTGTAAATGAATAAAAGGATTTTACCAAGAAAGCCACTAATTTGTCCCACTATTATATTAAAACAGCTTGGTAATAATTATTAACTGGTATTATTGTATTATTCTATAATTGATTTATTAGTAATTTATCTTTTGTTAACTGCTTGATTGAAGTTGTTTGATTACGTTTGTTTTACAAGTCAAGTTAAACAGTCAGACTTACTTTTTAAAAACTGGTTTTTCATCCAGGTGCAGTGGCTCACACCTATAATGCCAGCACTTAGGGAGGCCCAGGCAGGAGGATCAATTCAGTTCAGGGGTTTGAGATCATCATAAGGAGACCTCATTTCTATTAAAAAAAAAAATTAAAATGAGGGAAAATAGCAGACAGGAGACAGAGCTAATGTGCAGCTCCCACATGAATGGACAGAACAGTATGTGGAGACTCACACCATAATCTTTTGCTCTAAGAACCACGGCAGGAACATACCAGGAAAACAAAAGAATTCACAGAGCCTTTGAAAGAAGCAGCACACCAATGCAAATTTCATGAAACAGGAAAAAAACCTGTGAGTTCCCAAAGTGTTAGAAGGGGAAAACTTACCTCTGAATACACATTCCCACTGGGGAATCTGAAAATTCAGATCATAGGACAAGGATTTAACCTTACCTAGAGATTAAATGGATTTAGGGATTCACACAAAGTATAAAAGCAGAAGTAGCATAGGGGAGTGCCTTGGATGTACTCCCAGTCTCCAGCTCAAGCCCAGGGAAGCCATCCCTCAGTATATCTTACAGAGGCCCTCACAGAAGGCAGCCAGTGGAATTGGGTAAGGGTCACAGGGTGAAGAAACCTCCCAACTGAAATTGGTAGTGGTTTCAACTGGGCACAAATTTTCTTAAGCAGAGTCTGAGGGATGAGTAGGAGCTGCTGTGGATACAAGCTGCTGCTGCCAATGAAATAGGCAGATGGGGAGGGGTGAGGTCTGAAAGTCATGCTTGCTTTCTCAGTGGGGTAGCTCACAGCCTGGGGCAAGGTCTGAATGGTCCACTGCAGAGAGGCTGGCCCGACCAACAGTGTAGGAGCTGAGTCAGGCCTCTTGCTAGCAGCTATCTCCTACTACCCTGGCAAACTATATAATACAGCGGAGGCAGGCAAAATCCCCTCTGGAACATAACCCAATTGGCCTGAGAACTACCCCCATCCCTCACAGTGGCTGCAGCAAGCCCCACCCAAGGAAAATCTGAGCCTAGACCCTCCTAACTCTGCCCCAAGCTGATGGTATTTTCCTACCTGCCCTGGTAGCCAAACACAAAACTCAGATTTCGTGGGAATGCACTCATGATCACAAGAACAGCATTGGGAAATCTGCCTCATGATCCAATCACCTCCCACCAGGTCCCTCCCCCAACACTGAGGATTACAGTTCAACACGAGATTTGGCTGTGGACACAGAGCCAAACTATATTAGCTGGAGAAAATAATAATACTTATTCTGGATGGCTAGCACCATGATGGCCAAGGAGAGATTAGATAATGAGAAACTCAGAAATTTTTGGGAGCTTCATGACCCTGCCGATCACTTGAGTATCCAAAATACTTACCCTGACCATCTTAGGGCAAGCTTAGAGCCCCCTACAACTACTGCAACTGGTGCTCTCTTGAAAGCACCATCTCCTAGCTAGAGGCCAACCAACTCAGGCCACTACAGTAACCCATGACAGAATAACTCTGATCCCAGGAAGGAAAAGACAACACCTAAATCCACTTCCTGCAACATCCTGGCTAACCAAAGGTCCTGAGTGTGTTCATGTGACGACTTTACTGCTTGTATAACCAGCATTAGAGAAAGCCAGCACACTAAACATATCTACAACCAAGGACTCCCACAGAGTCTACCTCACTCCCCTGCCACCTCCACCAGAAGAGGTGCTTGGTATCCAAGACTGGGAGACCTGAAGAAATATCACATCACAGAACTCTTTGCAGACATTCCCCGGGCACCAGCCCATAGCCTGGTAGCTCCACTGGGTGGCTAGGCCCAGAAGAACGTAAGAATCACTACAGTCCAGCTCTTAGGGAGCCCCAGCGCTAGGGGAAAAGGAAGAGCACCACATCTAGGGATCACCCCATGGGATGAGAGAATCTGAACAGCAGGCCTTGAGTTTCAGACTTCTTCACTGAAATAGTCTACCCAAATGAGGAAAAAAAAAAAAAAAAAGAAAGAAAGAAAGAAAAGCAATTCTGGTAATATGACAAAACGGGGTTCTATAATAGCCCCAATGATCACACCAGCTCCTCAGCAATGGATACAAGCCAAGAAGAAATCTCTGAATTGCCAAAGAACTCAGAAGGATGATTATTAAGCTACTCAAGGAAATACCAGAGAAAGGTGAAAACCAACTTAAATACATTCAAGAAGCAATACAGGATATGGATGAAAAATTCTCCAGAGAAATGATATCATAATGAAAAAAAATCACTTCTGGAAATGAAAGATACACTTAGAGATATACGAAATGGATTAGAAAGGTCAACAATAGACTAGACACAAACAGAAGAACTTCAGACCTCAAAAGACAAGGCTTCTGAATTAACCCAATCAGACAAAGAAAAAAAGAATGTAAAAATGAACAAACCCTCCAAACAGCCAAACCTAAGAATAACTGATGTTCTTGAGGAAGAAGAGAAATCTAAAAATTTGGAAAGCTTATTTGAGGGAATAATAGAGGAAAACTTCCCTGGTCTTGCTAGAGATCTAGGCATCTAAATACAAGAAGCTCAAAGAACACCTGGGAAATTCATCACAAAAAGATCATTACCTAAGCACATAGTCATCAGGTTGCCTAAAGTCAAGAATCTTTTTTTTTTTTTTTTTTTTTTTGAGACAGAGTCTCACTCTGTCACCCAGGCTGGAGTACAGTGGCCGGATCTCAGCTCACTGCAAGCTCCGCCTCCCGGGTTCACGCCATTCTCCTGCCTCAGCCTCCCAAGTAACTGGGACTACAGGTGCCCGCCACCTCGCCCGGCTAGTTTTTTGTATTTTTTTTGGTAGAGACGGGGTTTCACCTTGTTAGTCAGGCTGGTCTCGATCTCCTGACCTCGTGATCCGCCCATCTCGGACTCCCAAAGTGCTGGAATTACAGGCGTGAGCCACCGCGCCCGGCCTAAAGTCAAGAATCTTAAGGAAAGAATCTTAAGAGCTGTAAGGCAAAGTATTAGGTAACCTGTAAAGGAAAACTTATCAGACTTCTCAGCAGAAACCTTATAAGCCAGAAGGTATTGGGAACCCATCTTTAGCCTCCTAAAACAAAACAATTATCAGCCAAGAATTTTGTATTCAGCAAAAGCAAGTTTAATAAATGAAGGAGAGATAAAGTCTTTTTTCAGACAAACAAATGCTGACAGAATTTGCCACTACTAAACCAGCACTACAAGAAATGCTTAAATGAATTCTAAATCTTGAAACAAAACCTCAAAATACACCAAAATATTAATAGAACCTCTTTAATCATAAATCTCACAGGGCCTATAAAACAGTAACACAGTGGGGAAAAAAACAAGGTATTAAGGCAACAACTAATATGATGAATAGAACATCACTACCTCACATCTCAATGTTAACACTGAATGTAAATGGGCCAAATGCTCCACTTAAAAGATAGAGAACAGCAGAATGGATAAAAATACACCAATCAACTATCTGCCGCCTTCAAGAGACTCACCAAACACTTAAGAACTCACATAAACTTAAGGTAAAGGGGTGGGAAAAGACGTTTTACATCAATGGAACCCAAAAGGGAGCAGGAGTAGCTATTCTTGTATCAAACAAAACAGACTTTAAAGTAACAATAGTTTAAAAAGACAAAGAAGAACATTATATAATGATAAAAGACCTTGTTCAGCAAGAAAATATCACAATCCTAACTATATATGCACCTAACACTGGAGCTCCCAAATTTATAAAACAATTACTACTAGACCTAAAAAACAAGATAAACAGCAACACAATAATAGTGGAGGACTTCAGTATTCCACTGACAACACTAGACAAGTCATCAGGACAGAAAATCAACAAAGAAACAATGGACTTAAACTATACAAATGGACCTACCAGATATTTCCAGAACATTCTGCCCAACAACTGCAGAATATACATTCTTTTCTTCAGCACATGGAACATTCTCCAAGATAGACCATGTGATAGGTCACAAAACAAGTTTTGGTAAATTTTAAAAAATCAAAATTA